TTTGTAATTCAATTTAATGGCAACAGTAACATCTTACATTCTTCTTTACCAGAGAGAGCATTAGAAAATGTTTGTTACTCATTACTCTTATTTACAAAGCTGTCAGTTACTATATTACAACACGTTTCTATTTACTTTGAGGTGCCAGGTAACATTTATTGTGATTAATCCACCAAAAATACAAACAAAAAATACATTAACAGCTGTCATTCTGTTAGAAACTTGAAAGTAGAATTTACCTTGTATAAGCATCCACTCCGCTATAAATTATCTGCAAGTACGACTTATCATAGGATGACATTTTTATATTCAGGAAAAAAAGTTTTATGGTAAATTAAAAATTAACCACATAAACATTTTGAGGTAAAATTTGATAGATTTCTATTTTGTTTTAAAGCAGCAGTTACTGTGATATTAGTAGACGATGCACCTGTGGACATATTTTGACTTCAAACTTATATGAAGTTAAATGCCAGTGAATAAAATTTAATTCTAAAATACCATAGACCAAATAGTTAATAAACTATCAGATCAGTATTGGCTGTTATTTTAGAAATAAGTGTAATTTTAGGGATAATAAGATGGTATAAAAAATCATTTCCAGGTTTCTTGCTAATCAAAGTTTTGGAAGTAGGTTTCACTCACTACTGTCTTCCGATAATCTGTGATGACATACAAAATCAAAAGCCTAACCTTAAATAAGGATATTATACTCAATATAATACAACATGGGAAATATGTCACCAGATGAGTAAAAAGCTAGAAGCTCTACTTTAAACCACTAATATTCAGTCAAAGGGTTTAGTAAGTAGTAAGTTAAAGGCACACTGTTCTTATGAAAATCCAGCCAATTGAATTTAGCACCATTTGTTTAGCATTATTAATGTACAGTTAGTGTATAACTATTGTTACTGATTACAATCATTACCCACTTTTAGCTGTCAACAATGAGTAGAAATAGGTAACAAATGAACATATTCAAATCAGTAAACATGTAAGTAATATACCACAGGTCATCAAATTAATATTGGTGATAATCTTAACCCAATATTAGCTGTCAACAATGAATAGAAGGTAGGGGAACTAAAGAACAAAGAAATATTTAATTCATTAAACATTTCTATATAAACACAATATGAATTTTACAGTATATCTGCAAAACAAACTTGCTTTGCAAAATCACAAGACTAAAATTAAAACAATACCAACAATACAGCAAAGTGATCAACAATAAATCATATTTTAATCATTTTGTCCTACTCTAAGAAAAACTTATTATATATAAGTCACCAAAGTTTTAAGTTTGATTTTCAATAATACAGTAGGCTGTTCATGTAAATATGCCCTTTATCAACAGTTATAACTACACAACAACAGTTAAAGCATTTAAGAATATATTCAAACACATCTCTTTCTGTTGTTAAAAATACCCCCCTATGAATACTCAAAGCAGGTGTTCAAAAACTGGAATGCACTTCATAATCACAAGCTTATTTCACTGAGTACATGTAAATGAGACTTAACTAGTACTTCATAAAATACATAGTTCTTCAATAGAAATGTAGCAGCTTAACAAACGGGAAATAGAAGAGTATTAAACCATGCATAACGTTTTTTCAATGACTTACCATGAATGATATAAAGAAAAAAATTCATATATATACATATTGATATTTCTGTACTGAAATTCAATAACTTTGGAATACAATATACATGAACAAGTAAAAAAAATTGAAATCACAAATTCCCATGTATTTTAGTGAAGTTAATGTTTTTTCATCACATTATGCTAGTTATCATATCACAAATATTCATAATAGGTATACTACAATTCACTGTATGCTATTATAACTATTAGTCATAGATTAGGAAGAAGTAAAATTTTAAATACATTTATTTGTGAGACTGACAGTTTCTTCAACCAATAGGAAAAATAACCATAATAATGATCACTTACAACTAATGTTACATGAATTTAATAATGGATAAAACTGAATCACAAGTACTCTCAACTTTTCAAAAAATCAAAAATAATAATCAAAGTATAATTTTGAGTAATTTTTTATTACGTTTGTAAAGAACATTCAAGAACTGCATAAAATTTTTATTCATGTATGATGTAGAGTGTTTTGTAGAGTTTGAAAGAAATTAACAATTACCCCTTTTTTAAGATTTCATATTTTTAATGCTTTAGGGCATATTGTCACATGAAGTTTTTTACTAAAATCAGAAAAACAAGGAGTATGGCCACTCAAAATATTGATTCAAGAAATAATAAAATTATTAAATAATTTATTGATTTAAAAAAATTTAATTAGCATTTAAACCATGTGACTTTTCAGGTTCTGACATTCCATCCTAGGAAGTCATTCACAGAATGGAAAGATTGTTCATGACCTTAAAATAGTACTAGTTTTTACACAAAGGGAAAACCTTCGTCAACTCTGGATAATAGTGAAGACTCAAGGAACAAAACACTCATGTGTAACAGGTTAACTGGAATGTATTATCATTTTACACAAGTCTCAAGTTCGTTTTTCAACTTCTTGAGATCTCATAAGAAAATAAATTGAATATGAGAAATGGTACACAAAATTGCTACAAAATCTAATTTGTTTCTTTCTAGTGATTTTCATTAAAGTCAACTTTTAGTTTGTAAATTGACTGAGATGTATTTCCTCTAACTAAAGAAATCAGTCAATTTCAAAAATGTTTCGTTTTGTAATTATTGTGCATTATAGTTTATGACTATTAGAATTAATAAATTATTATTAAAGTTTATTTTTTGAAGACTACTAATGTTTAGTAATTTATATTATAATATGACAAACTATCTTTTTTCTTTATAAAATTCACTTTTTAGAGGCAAAAGTGACTTTAAAAATCAAAACTATTATGCCATTACAAATTGCATATACAAAAAAAGTTTCAAATAGCTAAAGCATTGTTAGAATAGTATATAAAGACATACTGTAACCAGCTTTTAATCAAATGTGACTGATGTTACATTATTTTTTGTATGTTACTAATATCATCATAAAGGTTTGTTCCAATTTTTATTCATTTTCTACAAGGATTTTTTCATTTTAGCATGTATCACTCTCAACTACTGAAAAACTGTAGTTCATCCAAAATTTTCCTGCAGGCACAAATTGTGTCCATAATCTTTTCTCTTAAGCTAAGTTACAACATTTTCATAGGAAATACCTACAAAATCTTTTTCACAAAGGACCAAAGGTTGAAAGTTAGTTTTATCAAACTTAGATCTATAAGTATAATTTAAAAATATTGTTTAAGCTACAAAACATTTTTTAAGATACCGATACATTTTATACTATTTTTAATTTGTTATTTACTCTAGAACTAGATGTTCATGATAGAATAGCTTAAATATTAGAAAATGGAAACAATCTGACAGGTTGCAAGGATCATAGTGACCTGTAACTTTCTAAAATAAAGCTGCACTTTTAACATTTACAAATGTTCAACTCAAGATAAAGGAAAAATTTTACACATTTGAATATTTTCTACAAACTACATAACTTCTCATTATATATATATTTCACTAAATAATATTACTACCAATTATATACATATTCATTTTAGTACAAAGGGAATTCAATCTTACTATATATATAATGGGTAACAAACTATTGTGTGTATCACACTACATTCTTTTTTTTCACTTTTAAGAATCTTTCAACCCTACACTGATTATATATAACATGCAACATTAGTAACAGTTTCACAACAGACCACAAACTCCAAGTCAAACACTATAATCAATATAACTAAGGTCCTTTGTCTATCTCAGTGACACATAAATATTATTGTATTATGAAAATGACAAATTCTAACAGGAAAAGAGGAGTACTGATTAGAAGAAAGAACAGTTTTGTCACAACTTCTAGCCTGATAAGCAGACAGCTTATCAGGTTTGGAACTTACTTTAAATTTTAGAACTTATATATTTTGAACATAATACCTGAATGTAATCATGACTAAACTGAAATAGAAAAAAGACTAAAAGAGATTCAAACTTGCAACAAACCCTGGGTGGGGGAACTAATAAGGAAGGGTTTAACAGTTCAGATTGTAAGAATAAGCATTAAAGATTATTCACCAGCAAATCTAAAGACAATTTTGTCTTACTAATCTATTAATACAAAGGCAGGTATGAACACTGGATAAATGGCACAACATTTATTAAAACGGTTAAACAAGTTTTTTTATCTTTTAATCTCACAATTTGAACATTTTAGATGTGACTCTCTTCCAAACAATATTTATCTGTTGCTCTATCATTCATGTACCATCATACACTAATTATAGATCACACCTTCTTAAATTTATAATCATTAGAATGTTACCTTTTCATTTATGACTCAATTATTATTATACAGCCATGTATGAGAAATTCTAAAGTTACAGGAAATGGTAGTAAATCAACTTATTTTAATCTACACAAACAAATACCTGTGACTCACTCATTTTTCCACAACATAACAATGGTGGGTATTTCTTACTATGTTTTGGTGAATAAAGAACAGAAAAAAGTTATCTTGTGTTTGAAATAAAAGTTTTATTAAGCTTAATAAATGAAATACTCAAATATTAAAACAACAAATATACTGCCTTTTGGTTTCACTATTACATGTTATAAACTGACAAATAAAAAAAAGTTAAAACATGAAATATGTTCTTGTAAGATCTCAAAGAAAATTCAGCTTGAAACTAATTCTTTGAAGTTATTAAATTCTATTTCATGGGTAGAGATCATTATTATTTTTTAAACTTCATTGGCAGGAATAGGGATATTTATATTCAAAACACCACCAGTTCCAAAATTGTGCTTGTTTTATTTACATTCTGGATAGGTTGATAGCATTTCTGCAGCTTTAACAGTGCTTTTCAGCCGATCTATTTAGAAACAATACATAATACGTGTAATCTTTAACATAGTCAATATATATATAATCACAAACATGCCAGTAAAAATATTCTAAAAAAATCAATATTAATATTATATAAAATCCATAAACAATTAAAACTTATAAATAACACAATCCAATTCAAAAACATAAGAAATCTATAAGTTAGTTAAACAAGGTACGCAGTAATACCAAACTTTTTTTATAAACTAACTTTCACAAAATCAAAATGGAAAAACAAAGGTCATGAGTACTTAAGATGTATTGTAAAAATGTTCTGAGCAATTTAATTGGCTGTGACTTGGATTTCTAACATAAACCTTATGTTGATTCATTTTAAATCTTAAATTTTCTGTTTGGTACAACATAACTTTCAACACAAGTACAGTTTTTAGAACTACAAGAGAAAGATCTTTTCATTTTAAATGTAATAGTTCCATCTGGGCTTTTAATGATATTGGTAATATAATACAGACTACAGAGTGGGTATCTTAAGTTTTTACACTGAATAATACCTTCTTGTCTATTTTCAATATAGTGTTTACAACAAAGTAAACAGTTCAAGTTTTTATGCTGTCTATAAGCTACAATAACATCAATTAGTGCTCTTCTGACAGTATTAGATGTACAGGAGGCAATCGATCTTAACTTGTAATTATGCAATATATGTACATAGTAATGACTGGTAACACTTCTGACTGATTACTAGCTTTTGCACCATATAATTTGGTGCAAAATAATTCTTTGCCAATTAGATCTTTTTGATAATTTCTATTTAATAAAATCGTTTTTATTTCATTTAATCTGATACTTCTTTTTTTCTTTATTGTTCAGGATCTGTATAATTCTCTTTTCTAATGTATATGGGATATTTCTTTTGATGTATCTTGGATGGTTACTACTAAAATCTAAATAAACAAGGGAATTGGTCAGTTTATAAAAATATATCAGTTTCTAAAGAGCTAATGTCAGATATGTAAATCAATATATCCAAGAAATGTATAATTGTATAAGCCTTTTCAATAGTAAATTTATTGTTTCAATCTAAATCATTTAAAACTTGGCTAAAATTAAAGCACTTTAAATCTTCATTCCAAATAATAAAACAATCACCAATGTATTTCAGCCAATATAATATGACATAAGAGCTAACATCTGTGTTAATTCACTCTTTGATCAAAAATGGTATACATCTCTTGTAAGAAACCCATTACTAAAAAAGCATAGATAGGTGCCATTTTTTGTACCCTTGGTGGTTCCTTTTATCTGGTGGTTGAAATCATTATTACAAATAAAATAATCCTTTTTCAGTACTAATTTTACAAGTTCAGTTAAAAATTCCTTAGTAAATTTGGAATGCAAAAATTCTGAATAATGTCCACAAAAATAATTTATAGTTGTATTCTTAATAATGATTTCTTTAGAATATTTTTACTGGGATGCTTGTGTAAGCATATATATATATATACTTTGTATTATGTATTTTTCTTTAAATAGGTTGGCTGAAGAGCAATGTTCAAACTGCAAAAGCACTACCAAACAATCCAGAATATAAATAACAACCAGTAATATTTTGAAGCTGGTGGTGCTTTGAATTTTTATATATTAAATACACTTGAGAAGATCACACCCACATATACATATATATTTCATATTTTGGATATATACATATGTATGTATTACTTGACTGACCCTGTACTGGTCAGAGCTCATTCCTTAAGATTTTAATGAATCTATATATATATATATATATATAATACACACACATAAAGTCAACAATTTTTCATTAATCAGACCTATCACAGCAAGAGACTTCTCATAATATGTACAAACAATACTTTCTACTATATAAATAATTAATGAACTTATTTTTTATTTTCTTTCATTCAAAGCTGAAATACTTGTCATGTAGAATATTTTACACCATACACAAACTTTGTAATTTACCAAAGTTTATGTTTTACTTCTCAAGAAGATTGATGGAGCACTGACTGTGAGCTTGGCACACAAAGCATGTCACATCATGTGGTAAGAATGTAAAGTTTTTGACAAAGCGTCAAGTAATAATACAATACACAAAAATTTGGTTGGTACCAAAACTCAAAGATTTCTTGCAGGAGCATTGTCTGAGTTGGCTTGGCACGTGTAAGAATGTCAAACTGAAAAGCATTAGAGCAAAACCTTTTACCAAAAACCTACACTATCATACATGGCTATGTATACATTTTTGAGATCTACAAAAAGTCATGCTTTGCTCATTCTTTTTCTCAAGGCAATTGCTTGAAGCATTAGCTAATCAAGCTTGAAAACATAAATAGTATAAGAATGTCATGTTTTAATTTACTAAGAACCTTAACTATTTTGTATGCACACGGAATCATTACACATAACACAAAAAAACAGAGCTTCCAAATTATTATTTTATAATAATAAAAAAAGACTGCTGAGAACACCAACTTAACAGGCTTGGGAGGTGTGAAGAATGCCATGTTGAGTGGTACTAGAGTGAAGCATTTTTTAAGAATCTGAATTTTAAGAAATCTACCAAAGTTTATGGTCCATTCCTTCCTCTTAAGCTTAGACTGAACAAGTTGGCATGGGTTAAGAACATGATGCAGAGGAAAGCTTTATGCTGAGAATCTGAAATAATATACAGACCCATATACAAGCTTGGTATAACTCATGGTTCACTCTTTTCTCTTGAACACAGATTGAAAATGTTGACACAAGTCAAAGATATGGTGTAGCATTAGAGGGAAACTTCTTAAGAACAGCTTGAACAACAAGAACCTAAAGAGTTGCTTGAAAGATGACATTTCTTTCTTCTCACTTTTTGGTCTTCTTGCCACTTCCAAAGTGGAACCATCCAGATCCTTTCTTTTTAGGTGAACTAAGTCTTGAACCCATCATGACCATCATGTTAGGTTGAAAATTGGATGGCAAACTACTTGTTCGAGACTTAAAAGTCATTGGAGCATCTGATAACATTTCTGTCATAACTGTACCTGGGTGTGGATTAGGTCCTTTCATTTGTTTAACTGAAATTGTAATAAAAATATTTATAAATCACATAACTTCTTGAATGTATCACATATATTCCTTTATTACAACATTTTTTAATACGACAACAAAGAACACATTTGATTACAGTAGTCCCTCTCAGATACGACAGACCCATCTTCCATGATTTAATAAGTTGCGATCTGACAGAAAGTTGTTATTTAAAGAATCAATAACCAGATAACGAATGGCCGAGTTCAAACTGTGCCAGTTGTTATTCCCAGGGGTTGAGCATAATGGTATATATACTGTATATGTAGTCAGATAATGTAACAAGTTGGCACACTGTATAATAATAGTTATGATGGATAACAGTTCAATAAAGATAACTTAAAATTGTTTTGTGTGTATTTTATGTAAAATAATTTATTCACTGATAATATTTGTTTCATAAACATCCACATATCACATTATTATTACATACATATAAAATATTATAAGCTGACAAAAATTTATTTCATATAAAGTTGTCCATCTTTGTTTGTTTTGCACATTTAATGGAGTCACTATGAATGTTCACGAGTCTGGCAGTTATCATATCAAGAAGCGTTTCGTTATTAGATTTCAGCGCACGATTTTAGTACCAATTTATAAAATAATGTGCAATAAATGTACAGAATTCTACATCAGAGAAACCAGAAGAAAACTGGAATAGAGATTCACCAAACATGAATAAAAACACATCCTATATTTACCACTATTGCAACTCAAAAAATACACAACATATCTATATGAAATGCTGTAATTTTAAACAAAGAACCAAACATCGGAAGCAACGTATCTTAACTGAACAAAACAGCCCCACCCTAAAATTTCACCTTAAAACTTGGATCCTCTGAAAAGGGACTATTCCACAAACTTAAAAGAACCAGTAAAGAAATAAAAATAAATATCTGAACTAAATTATTGCTAGACTTTAGCCAATACCTAATAAGGTAATCCTCTCTGAATACAAATACTATATAAAATGTAATATGTTACATTAAAACAATTTCATGTTGACTAAAAAATTCTCTAATTTCCATGTTTTGTATATTTTGTTGCTTTCTTCACAACTTTGGTCTATATCAATATCTACATCATGTTTCTATATCAACACTTTGAGCCTTCTTCTTCTTCACAGCAACATCCTGTTTTCAGCTTGAGACATTCAAAGCTTTTCTGGAAGCCTTGAGGCATTTCCTTAGCCATACTTACCATACAGATTGAGTTTGTCACTCAACAAACTATGAGTTAATACACCCCGATAGTAAGTCCTAATCAAGTTACTTAACATCTAGGCCACTAGTTCAAAATCTACTACATTCGAAATACGTATGTTAATTCACATCGAAATAAAATACCAGTGTTATCACAATCACTCTATTGGAACTCTAATTAATAAATAAATCCTACTGTCATAGAGGATGGGGTTTTATTGGTGTTGGAGAATTTTTTGCTATACAATAGTCTCTGGTGGATACGACCCCTCCCATAAACGACTTCCTGATAGATGCGACATATGACCATGATTTTTGGAAGGAAGGTTGAATAATGACCTCTCTGTAATGACTTTTCTTCATATCAACAATGTAATTTACAGAGACACATGAATACAGTGTATACAATATGGAAGAAAGAGTTCACATGATCGGAGATTGCTTCACAGCTTAGTATATTTATCTTGGTACCCCAGGGTGTTCAAGTCAAACTCCTTGATACATACACAGGGGTATTTTGGTTTTAAAACTTTCAGGTCCTGAAAGGTAACCAGGGGTGGTCAGAAACTGATGTTTGTCTTCACCCTGCTTGCATAATAAAGGTTTATTCTCCTAGTATATTTTAATGAAAGTCAACTTAATTTAAGTTCTTTCTAATGTTAATATACATCAGAAATCTATAATGGCATTCAAACTTTCCAAAGAGTTAAAGTTTTATCTTTGTGAAGAAAAAAAAAAGAAGACAAAAAACAACTATATGATAGGATGTATCTTCTCACTACTAATAGTAATGCTAAACTGATATGTCCCAAGCATTGCATATTGCTAATTGTCTTATGGAAGTAAAAGCTTTTCACCATTTAAGTACCTAGCAATGTTATTAATAAAGTAAGGGGTCAAAAGAATATTTAATTTTTTCTAATCAATGAACATTTTTGACTCAACTCACCTTTAGGTCTTTTAGCTTTCTGTTTGTTTAAAAAAGCTAATCTGGCAGCTTTCTTAGCTCGTTCTGTAACAGTAAAACCTATGGAAATTATATAAAGATTAGCATAACCTGTATACATAGAACATCCTTACATTATTTACTGCTTGGTTAAACACATATTTATGATTTTCTGTGATTTATTCTAACTGTACGTCACATAAATGTGATAAAGTTATTACAAAAAGTAAAATCTTGGCTAGAGTTTAAAAAACAAAAAGGGGGGGGGGAAGAGGCAGATATTTCAAGATTACAAAAGTTCCATTTCAGATTTTGTAAATTCACATAGATAGTATAAAGACTGTAGAAAGCAGAATTACATGAAAAAAAATTTGGCTGTTGTGTAGATTACATCACCATTAAGGGCTGGATGCTTTATGGAACTTCTAAATCAGAAGACAGATCTGGAAATTTTGATCACACATCAAAAGCAATTCCATACAGATCAGGAAAATCTGAATTCATATCTTTCATTTGTTTTATCTCATGATGGAATGAAAAGAAAAAATCCATATGGTATTAAAGTGTACATCAAAGAAAAATCCTGCATGGAAACACTCCCATTGATGTACTACAGGAACACAATACTACATTAGCATATCCTACAGATAGCTAAGGTAAGTCTGCTTCAATACTTACTAGTATGACATTGCAGTCCTATGGTGAGTTAAGAATACAAATAATTTTCTTCACTTTCTAGAAATTCACACTGAGACATGTAAGAGAGAGAATGTTGAGCTATTATCATTGGAGAATATTGCTAAAAAGAAACTAGTACGTTATTGTTGCCCTAATATTGATCTTAAGCTGCAGTACCTACAGTATCAGAATTAAAATACACAAATTAAGAATAATTACAGAGAAGTTTTAGATCTAATGCTAAATATAGTATTCAAGTAAGTGTTCATTTTGCATACAAGTGCACTTGTATTACTTGTGCAACAACCATATCTTTATTGCAGAACACAATTTTAAATAAAAGTATTCTCCTCACAACAAGAACACGACATTCACTAGGACTATACTGAGGGTTTGATTATAGCTTTTTGATGTAATTTGTAAATATAGTACTAAAAAATGGAGTTATTATAATAAATTGTCATTTTTTCAATAAAGGATACCACTTTTAACATATAAAACATTACAGTTTATATCAGCACGATCCAAACTCTTTTTCCATGCAATACTTTCCAGAAAAACCCTTTTTTTTGGAAATTTTTTTCAATGAGGTATGGATACTATAAAAAGTAATTACCAGCACAAACAGCCAACCTATGAGCGGCATTTCTGCTAGTATGTTATGAAAATTCAACAGTGCTACATCTGCTACATTCAGTGCTAATAAGGCCCATTATGTCAATAATTACAAACATGTGACGTAAACATCTGATGAGTAGCAGTCTATATACATTTAACTTCTAAGTTAAGAACAGAACTAGAAGAGACAGAGGAGAATAGCAGTGTTTGTTACAATTGTAACGAATTTGTCGCTATGTATTTATTTTTAATGTGAACGTTGTTTGGATTAAATTTGTATTTAAAAATATGTGTAATTTATAATGTCAGATATGTATTGCATTTTCCCGCACATATAAAAATACCAAGGCCAAAGTAGAGAGCATATATAAGTCTGCTAAGAACGTGTTATAATCGGGTATGCTATAAACCGTGATTTTGCTAACCCTTATCAACTGAAAAATTTACAACATTTGACCAGGAACAGTTATAAATTTCGAATATCAGTGGATTCTCATCTTTCCAAAAATATTACTAGATATATGTTAGTATTTTTCTGAAAGTATTACTGAATTATCATCGGACATTAGTGGTTTTATGAAAATATTATCTTACTTCGTTGGTCCAACAATTCTGTGTCTGACAAAGCTAGCTAGCTTCTCGGCAATTGTATGTACATCGACTTCAAGTTAACTTGCTGGATATCAAGGAGACCCTGAACTAGAAAGAAGATTTTGTATTGTTTGTAAGTTCGTG